GGAACAGCTGTTCCAGAACAACCAGGCTTAGTCCAGATCCATTGTTGGGGAGAGTCACTGTGCTCCTTGATTGTGGGTGAACTACAGCTTCCAACACCCATGGTCAATTTCCTCCAATCTCCACCAGTATTGAAAGTTGGCCATGTTGGGTACATGTGCCAAGTTTGGTTCAGATCCGACATTGGCCACTGGGTATCCGGGTAACTATAACTCCCATTGTCCTGGGTCAATCCTCCCCACCTTTCCAGCATTTTCTGTTTGGGGGGCGGGTGGGAGCAAGAATTGTCCTGATCCGTTGTTGGTAGGAGTTACAGGGCTATCTGGATGTGAGTGCCATCTTGGGAAATGCATGGGTAGATAGAGGGATGGATGGATGTGGATGGACTGCAAATTCTCCCTCCATGGACCCCCTCCCCCTCTCAAGCAGGGTGATATGCAGACAGGCCAGTCTGAGACAGGTTAGCCTGACCCTGAACCAGCAGATGCTGTACAAACAGGGGAACTCCAGACAAGAAACAATCAGGGACAGCTAATCATCTCCCAACAAAGGATTCCCCCAGGCAGTAAGAAGCACCTTTGAAAACCGCAAGGCCATCAAATGCTAATCAAGGTGGCCAACTGAAACATTCACACTTGTCTCCAACAGACAGGAGTTCTTTCTCCCACCCTGGGCATCATTCCACAAGGATATAAACCCAATTTTCCTAGTTTCTAACAGACCTCACAATCCTCTGAGGATGCCTGCCATAAATGCAGATGAAATGTCAGGAGAGAATGCTTCTGGAACAGGGCCAGACAGCCCAAAAAACTTACAACCCATGGGGGTTCTGTGTGGGAGGTCTGACCCAATTCTGTCCTTGGTGGGGTTCAGAATGCTCTTCAATTGAAGGTGAACTATAAATCCCAGCAACTACAACGCCCATGTGTCAAGGTCTATTTTCCCCAAACTCCACCAGTGTTCACATTCAGGCATATTGAGTATCCATGCCAAATGTGGTGCAGATCTATCACTGTTTGAGTCCGCAGTTCTCTCTGGATGTAGGTGAACTACAACTCCCAAACTCAAGGTCAATGCCCACCAAACCCTTCCAATGTTTTCTGTTGGTCATGGGAGTTCTGTGTGCCAAGACTGGTTCAATCCCATCATTGGTGGAGTTCAGAATGCGCTTTGATTGTAGGCGAACTATAAATCCCAGCAACTACANNNAAATGCCAAGGTCTATTTTCCCCAAACTCCACCAGTGTTCACATTCGGACATATTGAGTATCTGTGCCAAGTTTGGTCCAGATCTATCAATGTTTGAGTCCACAGTGCTCTCTGGATGTAGATGAACTACAACTCCCAAACTCAAGGTCAATGCCCACCAACCCCTTCTGGTGTTTTCTGTTGGTCGTGGGGGTCTTTGTGTGGGAAGTTTGGCCCAATTCTATCGTTGGTGGAGTTCAGAATGCTCTTTGATTGTAGGTGTACTATAAATCCCAGCAACTACAACTCCCAAATGGCAAAATCATTTCTCTCCCAACCCTACCAGTATTCAAATTTGGGCGTATTGGGTATTTTGTGCCAAATTTGGTCCAGTAAATGATAATTACATTACGAATCATAACAGAAGGAAGATTACAGTTATGAAGTAGCAACAAAAATAATGTTGGGGGGTCACCACAACAGAAGGAAATGTATTAAAGGGTGGAGGCATTAAGAAGGTTGAGAAACACTGGTAGAGATTCCTGCCTAGAGACCGATGACGCTGCAGATAAAGGCGAATTCCCATTGGTGGAACATGGGCGTGAAGTAGGGGAGCTTCTGCCCGGAGACTGATGACGCCACCAAAAGGAGAATTCCCATTGGCAGAACGGCAGAGAATCAAGCCAAGGGCGACTCTGCCTAGAGACTGATGACGCCTCAAGGGAGGCGAGTTTCTATTGGGGAACCTGTGCATGAACCCCAGGGGTTTCTGCCCGGAGACTGATGACGCCAGAGACGGAGGCGAATTCCCATTGGCGGATCTTGGCTGAAGCCACACAGTGCTGTGTTTGGCTCCCTCTTCACTGGGAAAGTCCCCTGCCTCCCTCCCTTCCTTCCTTCTCTGGACATAATAATAATAATAATAATAATAATAATAATAATAATAATAATAATAACAACAACAACAACAACAACATAATAATAATAATAATAAAAGCCTGATCTCATAATAATAATAATAATAGTAATAGTAGTAGTAATAATAATAATAATAATATACTTTAAATAATAATGCAATATAATAATTTATTATATCAATATTATAATAATATTGAAAAGAAAGTAAAGGAAGGCATCAAAAGCCAGGTCTCAACGTAATAATAATAATAATAATCTTTAAATAATAATGTAATAAATTATTATATCTATGTTATAATAATATTTATTATTATTTATGGAGGTGTGTAGGGTTTCCTTGGGCAAAGAGAAAGCCGCCCCTTGGAAGCACGTAAAGAAAAGCACCAAAAGCCAGGTCTCAACATAATAATAATAATAATAATAATAATAATAATAATAATAATAATATACTTTAAATAATAATGTAATATAATAATTAGTTATATCAATATTATAATAATATTGAAAAGAAAGTAAAGAAAGGCATCAAAAGCCAGGTCTCAACGTAATAATAATAATAATAATAATAATAATAATAATAATAATAATAATATACTTTAAATAATAATGCAAAATAATATTTCATTATATCAATATTATAATAACATTTATTATTACTTATGGAGGTGTGTACGGTTTCCTTGGGCAAAGAGAAAGCCGCCCCTTGGAAGCGCGTAAAGAAAAGCACCAAAAGTCAGGTCTCAACATAATAATAATAATAATAATAATAATAATAATAATAATAAAATAATGTAATATAATAATTTATTATATCAATGTTATGATATTTATCATTATTTATGGAGGTTTGTAGGGTTTCATTGGGCAAAGAGAAGGCTTGGATGCATGTAAAAAAAGGCACCAAAAGTCAGCTCTCAATAATAATATAATTATTGAGAGGGAGGGCATGGCTGATGTTTTCCTGCAGTCCAGAAAGGCTCCCGGATATGTATATGTGTGTGTGAGAGTGTGTAAACATACACAAACAGGCTGATTGCTACTTACTTACTTACTTGCCTTATTCTGGGCATGCCTCTCCCTTTCGCCCTCCATTCGCGCCTCTTTGAATTCCACAGCACTGCTGGTCACAGCTGACCTCCAGTTAGAACACACAAGGGCCAGGGCTTACCAGTTCTTGGTGTCTGCTATAATTTGGTACAATTAATAATAAATGTAATAAATAATTACCCTAACTCCATGCTGCAAATCCCCTGTTTGGATATCAGTCAGCACGTCAACGCCTTAAATCAATAAATAGTTTTATAAGATCTGCAGAGATACTTGCAGGAACACCTCAGCAACGTCCTTGCAGATGGCCAGTTCTCTCACACCAGGAGTGACTTGCAATTTTTCAAATCGCTCCTGGCACAAAAA